TTTTTTGGTTTTTTTTTTTTGGTACTGAGAATCAAACTCATGACCTCACCCTTGCCAGGCAGGCGCTGTGCCACTGAGCTCTATCTCTGGCGCCCAGCTGTGGTCTTTCTGAGATAGCTTTTATCAGCTTGAAGACATTCCCTTCTTTTCGTAATGACCACTAACTTTAAGCTTTGGTCACCCTCAGCCTCTCTCAATTTTAAAAAACACTAAGTCCTTTTACCTATGTCTTTATATGGACTGCCCTTCCTCCTGGTTGGAGTTGTACTGTAACCTGCTGCGGGACAGAGGCCCAGTCTTCTGCATTCTCAGCAACTTCCGCAGTGCCTAGCACACAAAGATGCTCAATAAATTGGAAAATGAGCCATTGATTCTCCTGCTTCCCACCAATGACTCAAGCATAACCAAGCAACTCTTGGTCACACTACCCCAACCACTAATTTTTTAAATCTTTTTGAGACAAGGTTTCCCTATTCAATTTAGGCAGGCCTTAAAATCACTTTGTAGCCCAGGCTGGCCTGGAACTTGCAGCATTCCTCTGCCTCAGCCTCCCAAGTGCTAGGATTACAGGTGTGTGGCACCATGCCCAGCCTTAATATCTCTCTCTCTCTCTCTCTGTATATATATATATATAAAGATTCATATAAATATACAAAAAGATTCATATATATATGAATCTTTTATATATATATAATATATATATAATCTTTTTGAATCTTTTATTTATTTGGTACAGGGGTCCACTGCACAGCTCAGACTAACAATAATCTTCCTGTCTTGGCCTCCCCAGCATTGGGATTACAGGTGTGCACCACCATGCCCAGTTTTGGTGGGCAGCATGGCATGTGATACTGGGATCAAACCCAGGTCCTTGCGCTTGCTGGGCAGGCCTTAGACCACGGAGCTATCTCCCCAGCCCTCAACCTCTAATCTTAAATATACTAACGATTCAGTCTACTCTAGGCAAATGCTTTCACTTTTTCAGGTTGGATGCCAGTGAGATCCAGGTAGATGAAACCATCTTCCTGCTGGAGTCATACATTGAGAGCACCACGAAGAGACAATGACCCAGAAGAAGCATCTTCCTCAGAAGGCTTGGGGGGATGGAGAGAAAAAGGCAGTGCCTGGGTACATGCTGTTCAGTAGGAGAAGCTGCAGGTTCTTGGGAAACCCTCTCTGTCCTTACTGCTCAAATCCACCTGAGAGTTTGAAATGGCGTGATGGTGCATGCCAATAATCCCAGCACTCTGGAAGGCTATGGTGGGAGGATCTCAAGTTTGAGCTCCCGTGGGCAGCTTACTGACCTAGTGAGACCCTGTCTCAAAAGGGATTTAAAACCTGGGGATGTAGCTCAGTGTAAAAGCCCTGTGTTCAATCTCCAGTGCCACCAAAAACAAAAATATTGACTATTATTTTTTGTTTGGGGGGGAAGAACTTGAGATTCACTGTGTTCTACCACTAAGCTTACATTCACAGCAGTTTTGTCTTTTTTGCTTGTTTGTTTGTTTTTGTGGTACTGGATATTGAACTCAGGATCCTGTGCTTGCCAGGCAAGCGCTTATTCTACTGAGCTATCACCCTGCCCCCCCCCCCTTTTTTTAAAGATAAGGCTGGCCTGGAACTTGCTATGTAGGTTTGGCTACTCTTGAAATCTCCATCCTCCTACCTCAGTCTCCCTAGTGCTGAGATTACCGGTATGTACAACTATGCCCAGTTCTTTTTATTTTGGGGTCTCAAAAAGAACTGGGCATAGTTGTGCTGGCCTCAAACTAGAGTCCTCTTGTCTCAGCATCACAAGTAGCTGAGATTATGAATTTAATATATATACATATATATCTATATATTTTTAAAGTTTGTTTACATAGAGTATTCTGTCATCAAATTGTGGCAATGGGAAGACTCTTAAATCCAAGGACTCAGCCCGCCTTTGCTGGAACATCCCTCTCAGCAGGAAACTTGTTCTGGAGCTGTCAATTCCATTTTCAAAAGTCTGTTTGTTGTTTTGCTGAGCTGTGGTGTTCTTAAGACACACATGCACACAGTATGAAAAATGCAGAAGACTACCATGGAGCGGGAAGAAACCGATTTTCAGGAGTAGGAGCTTGATTGGCTAAGCAGTCACTAGATCTCTGGATAAAAGACATTTGCCAGCTCTAGGCTTCTAGCACATCTGACTTCGTGTGTAGAACGTTTAACACAATGCCTGGCATATGATAAGTTCACGATGAATTATTGCTTCATCTCTACTATTGCCTTAAAAGTAGCAGCTCCAAATTTTCTCTCGGTATATGCATATAATTTTTCCCAGCAAATTCAGTTCATTTAAAGCAGTTAGGTGTTACATATAATCCCTTCAGTTCTGTTAGCAAATTTGTTTTAATTCTTCGTAAACACTTGACTGTCATCAATTGTCACCATACTGAAACACAATATACAAAGTAAGTGAAACACCATCTCTACTCTTGAGAGCCACTTGCCATCACTGGCTTAGAACTGTTGTGTACCAAGTGCCAGGCCCTAAGCACAGGGCCTAGAGGAAGGACTGAAGTACAAGGAAGTATGGTGCGGGTATGAGGTACAGAGGCTGGAAAGAAGAGGGGTCCAGGAGGGAAGAACTAGAAGCACCAATCTGAGTTGTGCATGGTGGCTCCAACCTCTTAATCCCAACCCAAGAAGCTGAGGCAGAAGGATCATAAGTTTAAGATTTTTTAAGTGGAGAGAGAGAATCCCAGAGGGGAGTAGGATGATTCTGGGGACAACTAAAAGTGGTGTTTGACTAGAAAACAGAGTAAGGGCCCTTCCAGAATTGAGGCTAGAGGAGCACACTGCAAGGGCTTGGCCACATTGTACTAAGGAAATCATCTTATTCCAAGAGCAGTGAGAGGCTGGGGATGTAGCTCAGTGGCACAGCGCCTGCCTGGCAAGCGCAAGGTGATGAGTTCAATTCTAAATACCAAAGAGAAAAAGTGCAGTGAGGAGCACATGACAGAACCTGTGAAAGCCAGTGTATACATTAAATCACTGGTAGCACTTCCCTGATTTGGCAAGGGTGGGGCTGTGAGACTTAGAAACAGAAGGCCTTGAACTAGAGCAATAGAGACAAGTGGGATTTGAGAAAGTTCAAGGTTAAGTCTTCAACAGTTTTTGCCTTTTTGAGATAACAGGCCTGGTGTGTTGCATTAACTAATAGGCAACTTGTAACACCCACCTGAGCTCAAGTCAGCATGGAGCTGGGTATGGGGGCCCACCTGAGCATTGGTGCCAACCATATAAAAGCTGAACAGGAGAGGAAGGTGATGTGCTGGTGACTCTGAGGAAGCTTGTCCTGCTGGTTTTCCTGATAGGATCTTGGCTGTTACCAGAGGAGCGCGGATCCTTTGTTGTCACTGAGGATGCTACCGTTCTCTTAAGGAGCCCTGGCCCTTACCTGAAGCATCAATTCCTGCAAATTCCTCAGCCTGCTGGCACAGCTCCTTCATCCCACAGGCACTGACTTTCCAACCTCCACCACTGACCTTTGGCCATGCTGGTGCAGATGCTTGATACACACTTGCATGAGACATCCGCCATGGGCTCCAGGTTTTCAGCTGGACTCCTGCAGGACGTTGCTGCGGGATCCAGGCCCTCGGCTGGATTCTTTGAGTCACTAGTGTGAGAACGGATCTGAGCTCTTCTGCATTTGACTTTTGGTGAAGATTATAAAATAATCCTGACAATTATGTGTCCTCTAGTAAATCTATTCCTTTACAAACCTGACTACAACAGCATCAAAGGTGCCTTTTGGGTGTCTGGCCCAGAAATGTAATTACTGCTCTGCAGTAAGGTGTGCAGAGCCCTGCTTACGTTCAGCCCAGAGCTGGTGGAAGGTGACAAAAATCATTCACTCAAGGGATCACTGTCCTAAACAGAAGAGACCTGAGAATTTGAGGTATTCCCTTTATTACCGGTACCCTCGGCGGTCTTGCTCACCTTACACATTTCCCTGAGTTGGAGAAACTGGCTTCCTCCAAGCCAGCGGGAAGCCGGAAGGGGAGGCGTAGCTGCGCCAGCAGGGGGCGCCGCGCGGCGGTAGAGTCCAGCGAGCCGCCATGGCGGTGCCGCGAGTGCTGCTGCTCCTGTCCGTGCGGCCGGAGCCGGTGAGCTTCGCGCAGAGTGTGTGCGGCCTCCTCGGCGCCGGCCCGAACCCCGGGCCATGGCCCACGCACTGCAGTTTGAAGCGCGGACAGCTCATCCTCTCCGACAGGCCCTTCCCGGAGGCCTCGGCCAGGCTTCCGATCCAGGTTGGAGCGGGGAGGGGAGGCGAGGGCCCAAACAGGCGGGGTGCGTGGGGCTGCGCGGAGAGGCCGGGCGCCGCCTCCACCAAGTGATTCCCCAATTTGAAAGCCCCACCTCTCAGGCCCTACTTAAACTCGGTGTCTCCCTCTTGCCAGCGACCCCCTTTCTGCCCTTTTGCGGCCCTCGCCCTGCAGCCCTTGGCCCCCGAGGCCACACTACCCACAAACCGAGGTGTGGACCTGGGTGTGGCCGTCCTTGTGCAGTCCAGCGACCAGACCGTCTTGTTGACCCGCAGGACACGCACTCTCAGAGTTTCTCCCAACCTCTGGGTACCCCCAGGTGAGTGCTTAGGGTCCAAGGCTGGGAAAGGAAGTTGCTGTTCCCACTTCCCAGCAACTTCCTGGGAAAGAAGGAAAACGGGTCCCCCCACTGTGACAGAACCGCAGTTACAAGAGGTTGCAGTCCACTTGGGGTGGGGGGCCCTAGCGGAGGTTCCTGGTGAAGACAGCCATTCACTCGCTGGTCCTACTCTTCTTGCAGGGGGTCATGTGGAGCTTGATGAGGAGGTACCTACCAGCTGACCCACCTACCTCGGGACTGCTAGCCGTGGGCTAGGAGGGGCAGACAGAAAGGGCTGGGGGCTCTGTAGCACTGGCCACCCTGACAGCCCTCTCTGACTCCCAGTTGCTGGATGGAGCGCTTCGAGAACTGTGGGAGGAGAGTGGACTACAGCTGCCCAAGGACCAGTTCTCCTGGGTCCCTCTGGGGTTATGGGAGGTGAGATGGGCAGGGAAGGGTCCCTCCTACTTACCAAGAAACCTCAACAGCTACCCCCAGAGTTCATGCATAGCCGCTAGCAGTCTTGGCGGCTGAGGAAACTAGAGGTGGACTGGATAGACTGGAGGATAAACCCATGATGGTCTGCACCCATCTACCATCTACCCCCACAGCTTTTTTTTTTTTTTTTT